AGACACTAATATCTAACGTTGCCATACAAACTGAACGATCGGAATCAAGTTCTTGTAGGGAACCTTTGTATTTGTGAAGGGTATTATACATAGCTTCGGTGTAACGAAATAAACGTTTCTCTTGTTTAAAATAAAGTTTTACCAACACCTGAAGGTAAGTTCTTTGCAAGTTGTAAGAGTATAAAATGTTCGGTTACACCCGAACTTAGCCCTTCTTTAGTTGTTTTATAAATTTTATTTACAGATAAGTTTATTTATATACTGATGTCATATGTACATTAGGGAGACTCAAAACGAATGTTTTCGCTTGGTACTCTGAACAAATGAGCTCTTAATTGTAACGGCCTTCGCCTAAAAGTTTTCTATTTTTCTTCTTCTTATCAGATAGAACAATAAAGGAAGGGCTAAGTTCGTGTGTAACCGAACATTTTATACGCTCGCAAAGTCATATGGTATACTCTTTGAGATTTCTTTGTGGATAGACCGATATTTTCGGTAGAGGTCAACTATAAGGCCCTCAGCATTATAAATATCCCTATGACTATATCCGATTAGCATAGCCGATTTCTTTTGCTCCCGCCTGTATTATTGGAAGAGATATGGGAATATTTTCTATTCAACAATTTTTTCCCCATCTCGTATCACGAACCAACTCTTTATTCCAACTGAAACTAAATTCTTCATTCAAGGACTTATACATAAGTATAATGAAATTTAAATGTGAAAAAAACTCTAAATTTAGTAGATACATGGGTATATTAATAATATTTACCTTGAATATTCTTTCCGAATCAATTCTCTGACGATGTTTTTTTTCTGGGGATTTAGATCTAAATATTGGTAATTTTGTTATCCTTTTTTTCCCAAGCAAAAGGTTCACTATAAATTGGAAACTGCTATTCTATTGGAAATAAACTTATATTACCATTAATCTTTCAATATTTAAGAATAAAACGTATAAATTAAAAATAATTATCAAAAAACTATGAGTATCAGTACACATTATAATTCTAGTGGGAAAATCTTGAATATGGTTCGAGTAATCAAAAAAGTATATGAGACCATTTTTGTAGAGCATTAAATATCTTACAAAAATCTGAGAAGTTTATTCGATAATAATAATTTCTACGTAGGTAATAAAATTCATAAAAAAATTGTTTTTTTTTCTAAATTCTTCAATCTTTGACCTTAAATATCTTTTAATTGGTTAAGTTTATGAAAAAAGTGTAACACATCAATTTTGTAGAGCGTTTAATTTGCTATAAATTATGACGATGGTTCAATAAGCTATTGGAGATAAGATGGGATCATTTTAATATCGAACTAAATTGAAATTAGAAAACTATGATGAGCATCATGTTCCCATTAAAATTAAAAGCTCATACTAGGTGAGTACTCTCTAAAGGTGCCTAGCAACTGGCTGTTGTGCCCCGTTAAAATCGTAAAAATCTGACAGATAAAAGTGAAATTTTGACGTTTTCCGTGGTGAATCCGAATGCCAAAATTTTAGCTCTCGAGCAAGGTAAAATTTTGACAATTTATAAATATGAATACAGAAATAAACGAATTAAAAAAAAAATGCTGCAAATATAACAAGTATGTTATTAAATATATTATTAATTCGTAATTATTCATTGGTTTATGTTATTATTTATTCCATTCAATGCAGAAATGATACTTTAAATATGGAAAGTTATTGACTCCTTTGAATTTTTGTTATTTATCCGAAATATTGCACACTAAAATTAAGATGAAAGAATTAAGTAAAAATAATATTTTGTAATTGATTAAAAGATATTAATGTAAATGTATTTATGAAGATATAATTTTATATAATCATTGTATAGATGTGTTCCGCATGCAAGTAGACTAGCACGTTGCCCAAAAGTCTCAATTAATAACAACTCTTCAAATTAATGAATTTTTTCTAGATTCATTAATATTATAATTAGCACAGCAAAGTTTTTGCTTTAGTTTTATTCATTTTGCGAATATATTTAATAATTTAATTACCAATACAAAAATTTAAACGTTCTTTGCGTTTGTTTTGAATTTCAAATGTCAAAATTTTACTTTCCATTTGGCACAGCAAGATGTAAAATTTGTTTACACCATAGGAAATTGTTTCACCCCAACTCAACACAGATCAAAGCTAAATATACCAGGTGTATAAGTGTGGAAAATGAGTGCCTGAATTGGATGAAAGACAAATGGAAAACCGAAAAACAGTTGTGAAATTTTGCTTCAAAGGCACGAAAGAAAATCAGTTTTCCATCGAATTGTCACTGGCGATGAAAAACGGATTTATTTTAAGAATCCTAAATCGAGAAAATCATGGGTTAATCCGGGATAACCAACAACATCGACTACAAAAACAGATCGATTCGGCAAGACGGCAATGCTTGTGTTTGGTATATTATGAGCTTCTAAAACCTGGTGAAACTATATTATACTAATCACCACAGACTACAAATAATCAATTTGAACCATGCATCGAAAAACGACCAAAATGGGCCAGAGGGCACGGCAAAGGAATTTTTTTACACGACTATGAACCTGCACACAAAGCAAAATCAGTTCAGGATACAATCTTGGCTGGGAGGTGTTACTTCACCCGCCGTTCTCACCAGACTTGGCACCTTCCGATTACCATTTGTTTCCATCGATGGGACACGCATTGACAGCACTTCGATTCCTACGCAGAAGTCGAAAAATTGGTGTCTGATTGGTTTGCTTCAAAAGACGAACTTTTATATTGCCATAGTATTCACAAATTGCCAGAAAGGTGGTCAAAATGTGTAAAAAGAATTGGTCAATACTTTGAATGAATATTTTTTTACTTTCCCATTCAAAATAAATATTGCATTTTCTCAACAAAAAAATTTGGTATTTTACTATACACCAAAAAAAAAAAACCAGGCTACAATGATTACGATTTTTTAAAAGAAAAAATAAAAGAGCACTTTGTACATTATTAAGGATATTTGTATGCCTATTGTTATAACAAATGTTAATAAGAATCTTGACGTTTTTTGAAATAAATAATTTAAGTACTTATCCCTCAATTATTAGTCGTTGTACGTCTTCTCTCAGTATAACGAAAACTTCATAGCGCAACCGGTCCGTTGAATTTCGTTATAGAGAATTTCCACTGTATCACTACATTCATAACCCAAAATAATACACTTGTACCTACATACATACGAGTATATATATATATATGCCCGACTTACTCAAAGTACGAAGTCTAATTTTTCTGTTCTCTTTATATATTTACAGTGTGAATGCATATTAATAAAAAATAGAATTCGTCAAAACGAAGTCAAAAGCTAAACCATATTTTGTAGGAGAGAAAAAATGCAAGCAAATCATAAATATTATCAAAATAAGTTTTGGGTAAATAATAAAATGTATATTATTTAAACTTTGAAAGTTAAATTTTATTCTAAATGTGACCATTATACTTAATACAACGTTGGGAACGATCAACCAGCGTTTCCAAAGATTTTATTAGGTCATTTGTAGGAATATTCTTCAGCACCTCGGTTACGGCTGCTTGAATTTCTTGGATATCATCATAAAATGCTCCTTTCATGTTGGTTCGCAGTTTTTTTACAACCATTTATATGCCAGTTGTCTTTCAAGAAATCAGGAAAACCAAACGCCGAAGATCAATTTTCGCCACGAAAATAAGAGCTCTCACACATCGACTGAAACAACTGCATTTTTGAGCACTCAAAACATCGAGATGATAAGTGGTCAACGTTTTTCTACACCTAAAGAGGCGGTTTTATCAGAGTAGCAAAAGTGCTTCGAAAATTGGTTCAAACGAATGCAAAAGTGTATAGATCTTAATGGAGAATATTTTGAAAAACAATACAGCTGTTTTCGATAATTAAAATTCTTTTTTTTCTCTAATCCCAAAATATAAAAGGCAATCTAATCCTGAAATATAAAGGCAACCCTCGTATCAAAGATCAGTAACAAAAACCTAAATAGTATGTGTATGAATACTACACCGCGATGTTCATCTTTATGGTGATGGTAATCACAAAAACTTAATTTTGCTGAATTATATATGGTACATAATTGTCTAAATATTATAAACTTTTCGACAATCATATCTGCCAAAATAAATTTTTTCAATTTCTAATTGATTTATATAAATACATCTGCTAATATTTTTTTTAATAATAAATATCCCATGTCCTTTTTAATGCCATTAGAGATATGTGTATAAAGTTTTATGATGATCAGTTAAGTGGTTTCGGAGTGAAAGCGAAAGCAAACAAACTTACATTCACATTTAAATTATTAGTATGATATACCATATATGCGATATGCAGAAATTTGTATATGTATAGTAGAAATGTACATATACTTATCTAAGTCTATGTACTTATGTTTAAATAATATCTAGAGACGTGGCCGTTTTTCCATACAAGCAACTGATGCTTTCTACGTCTTTATGGCTTAGGGTCGTTTTCTCATTTTATGGTTAAGCGCTTAACCAGAACTTTAGCGGCAACATGTTGAAAAATGGTTTTCTCAATATTTGAAGGAGGCTTGATTAGTTTCTAATCAGAACATGAAAAGACAGGGATCAGTTGTAAAATCTATAAGAAAAATCAGCTGCATTGACGGCGCTTAGACAAGGACTTTTTGATTGCTCATTATCATTATACATATACTTGTATTATGCATATTTGCATTCATATATATATATTACATACAAAAAAGTGTAATAACAATTAAATTTCTGAGTATAATTTAAATATTGTTTTGAAACCGAGCCTTGTTGCAACGTTGAACGAAATTTTAAAATGAACAGGAATGCCGAATTGCGTAGCTGCGAGTTTTACAGAAAAGAGCACAAAACGTGCCACCCGGGAACGAGCGGCACGGTCGCTTTGGGGAAGAAATAGTTCTCGTCTGAAAATGCACATACACGGCTTATGACGTTTACACAGTTTCACAATACAAGTTTTGTGAGCTATTTTCCCCACGCATTCACAATATTCACACTATCTGTAGGTACGCTAACCCCAACTTGGTGAAACGAGTTTAGTCAGCTAAAACTATTATCTAGTTAAGCTATCAGCGGTTAAGGAAAGTAATAACCAGGTATTGAGAAAATGGCCCTTACGAGATAAAAATTATCAGATTTCGTTCAGAAACATCAACATTTCTGACAGTTCATAAAACGTAAACAACTTTCTAATTAAATAATGGAACAAACAAAACCATAAAAGTAAATAGTATAATAAAATTAATGATATAAATTACTTACAGTTATTATGTCAATGGTGATGTTTGTTCCCTGTTAATTGACCGTAATTGTTATTGTTAAAAAAGGAACTTACTTTATTTAGAAATCCAATTCCATTTTCATTTTGAAGGATATTAAATATCATGTTATTAAAGTAGTTTATGATATTTGCTATTTTCTTCATACTTTTCTCTTTACGTACAAAAGAGTTAAAATGCATTTTGCCGCCGATATTTTAATTTTCTTCCTTTTATTTGCAAATTACAAAACCAAGACTATTATTTATTTATCATTAATGTATCCATTTAAATATGTTTTCCACATGTTTTGACTCGATATTTTTCTTTATAAACAAATTTACGGAAAGAACTGAAACCAAATAGCATTTACGTCGTCATTCTAGAAATATTAGACGGAAAACGAAATAAATGCAAAATAATGTTATCAAACATCGCGGCATAGTAACTAGGGATTCAAACCGATATAGATAAAAAAGTTTTTGGATCTTTGATACGAACCAATGGTTTCATCCCTATTATATCTGCCAATGTACATATACAAACATATGTATGTATTGTAGATGAATCCAAAAGCATGCGATTTACGAAATTTCTGTTACTATCCATAACAATCACGTCAAAGTTAGGCAAATGCAAACAAAGACAACAAATTTAAATCAACTGCTCACTAGACATTGATACTACCTCAAACACAAATCAAACTTATATACATAAGTACATACATATATAAGAAGTACCTAAATACACATATAATGTTTTCAATATGTATGAATTAATTCATACACATACAAATGCAATTGTTTATTTTTAGAGACGAAATTCGAAAAAAATACCTCATTATTTAGAACAAAAACCAGAAATGCCACATTTTCAGAGGCAAGCCTCCTAAATTTTAGCCAATAAAATAGCATCATTTATTACTCTTCGTATGTACATATATATTTATATATGAATAAGTCTACTGTAATCATCAACAATTTATATATTCATGAGCCGGTTCAAAAATGCTACTGAACAAACACGCATATGTAGGTACGCTAAGCCTGCGTTCGCACACGTACGCCTTTGTTACCCAAACTCGTAGTTTGTGGGCGAGAGGGCAGCGAGGAAAGATGAAAGGCAACAGGTTGCTTGTACCAGGGCAACACGCTTTGTGTTCTTGTTCGTAACAGTTCGCTACCTATATTTGCATTCCTTTTCATATTGAATCTTTCCATGGTTGCAATCGCACTCGGTTTGCAAAAAACATTTACAATAATAAAAGAAATTTAATTTCCGTAATAAATTTAACATATAACTATGCATAATATAACAGATTTTCTATTAGAAATGGTAAATAAGGATTAATATTAACTAAAATATTTTTGTGAACTCCGTAAATACAGCTTACAAAGAGAATAAAGAAAATTGCCGGACTCGAGTGGCGAATCATGTCGTCCCCGTGAACGCAATGCCAACAACGGAAGAGAATTTCATGATAATGAGCAGCAAAAGTTTTCGTGTGCGAACCCTGTCAAACATGCTTTGTTCGCTATGGAGAATGATCTAGCAACGCGATAACGTGTAGTTTTCTTATTCAAACAGTCACCGACATTCCGCCTTTTCGTAGTTACCGCCCGTATCAAACCAAATTTGTCAAAAGTTATGCCCGTAGTTGCAACGTAGAAACCAGTTGTTCTCTTTTCTTTTCATTTAACCAATGTTTCCATTGTTGAATTTATATACACGATTTTTCACACATTTAGTTTTTTAGTTCAATATTTTCATAATGTAAATGCTCAAAAGTTAAATCCAACTATTAAAAATAGTCTACCTATTTATAAATAAATGTATTCGACTGTGATTTTGAGTTATTTTAAGAATGTTTCAAATATATTCAAGTTTATTTTTAAACTTCTACAAAATGTCGAGACTGGCAACCCTGCGTTACAAGAGATTGCTCTCTCAGCTCACTCGTTTCTACGGAAAAAATCCAATTTTCGTGGGTTTCCTACAGTACGGTCTATAAAAGCAGACGGTAGGAGTGGTTGTGACTGTTCAATTACAGTTCCCCCCGCGGGTAGGGATAAGAATTTACCCGCGGTAAGGCATGCCTGTCGTAAAAGGCGACTAAAAGCCATATGCACTATGACTGTTAATTTATTTTGCCCAGAATTATCAGCATAGTAAATGATGTCAGAAATAGTGCTATAATACTCAGCTTGAACTGATATTATAGACTTTAAATGAAATCCCAAATAAAAAGACATTTGAAGTTCAAGCGACAAATGTCACCAGTCATTGAGCAATGGGTTGCTCAACTGGCAGTAGTTTCGACTACACAGTCTTACCGGAGACTTTCTGGTACCACGGGGAGCAGAAAGCCCTTGGACTTCGGTCCAATCTGCTCATTGGGTTATGGCCCCTTAGGGGACATTCGTGGTGGCTGTGGTTAAAACTTAAATGCAGTAAGAGCTGAAAATTCAGCCTAACTATTTTTTCACTTCTAAAAAGAAGTTGCAAAAAGCAACTGGGTTCCGTACCCGAAAACGGAAGAGGTTTTAGGTCGGCCTCGAATCTTACCAAGATGGTAGTGTGGGCCCAGACACACTGCCACTAGGAACCAAATTAATACTTGCAAATAGCTCGTATTATTTGAGGCGCTTATCAACGCATTGTATTGATACGTTGTGCTTTGGAGCACCGTGAGGTAAGGCCGCCGCCGGCAGGTACTCACGTAAATCAACAACGAAAGTTGTTCAATTACAGTGCGCTCTCTTAAGTCGGTCGTATCAGCTGATTCGGTTTTGCGTCGGTGACTGTTTGAAGCATTAGTGTTTTATTTTATTGTGTAGCGACGACATCAGCAACCAAACAACAACAACAAAAAACTTAGAGGAGGCCTGTTTATAGAGCTCTTGTTGGAACGGGTCTCAGTTCGGGTGGGCTCGTTGTTCATAACATAGATAACGAGTTCAGTTGGCCTACACACACTAGCTTTCGGGTATAAAAGCGGGCAATTAGTTGCTTCAAGACATTAGTTACTCGAGTTCAGAGTAAATGGAAAGATCAAGTGAACAAAAAGTCAGTGATCTGAGAAGAAAATTAAATTTTGACAAAAA